TTTGTAATTTAAGTAATTACTTTAATGTTGTTATATCATTCATATTTTCTCGTGTAAGCAATATCTGCTAAAATGTACAAAAACAAGAATTAAATTAAAAGCACAAAATTTAATAACGCTTACCTGAACATTAAAATTAATTAATTAATTCTTTCAGCCAAATGCCTTGAGGTGGAAGCCCCTCAGGGTGACAATGTCTTTTGTGGACATGTTGTATTCACAAAAGCTGTCCACAGGAGTACAGTTGTTGATGTTATATGTTTTAATGTGTTTATTAAAAAAGTTATTACAAAAGGTTAATACAAAAATAACAAAACAGTTGAAAAGGACCCCAAGAACACTGTTTTATAGTTAATTTATAGATTCAAAAGGGTAAGAGTAACATTGGCCCAAAATTAATTTATTTTTGGCAAAAATTAACAACAATTTGTATTTATTACTAAGACACACAAACCTTGATATTTTTTTGGGCCTCGAGTATGTAAAATAGATCTTGACAAAAACTGTCCCTTTGTCTGTGTCATGTGCAACCATGTTGGAATCTCCTTTACCCACAATCCTAACTAAAGATGGAATAATGGAATGCTGTCTCATTCCAAAGAGTTTTCCTCAACTTACAGTTTGTATATTTCGATCAAGAGAACACATCTGATCTGAAACCTGTTCCGCTCCAGGGTCCGACCTCTGGAGGTGATGAGATGAAGCTGATCCAGGATTGGGCTGTTCTGTTTGGACGTCCCACTTCTCTTTACATTAGAGTGTACAATATCAGAGGAGCCAGAAGGAGACCAGATTTCAGCTGTGCTGCTCAGGCTTGGAGCGACGGATCATTTACCTTAGGAAATCAAAGTCCGTGGCGGCACATCTGATCTGGAGTGGGCCCAGCGGTACAGCAAGGAAAGTGTGAAACCTGGAGAAAGAGAGCACTCAGTGAGGAAATCCATTACCAGTGAGAAGCCAACAAGCATGAAAGGAGCTGTCTTGTTAAATTGGCTGCTTGATAAAGCAGGCCTTTGGCCAGGGAGCCACTCAGAGTCACCACCAGTGACACCAGGCTGAAGAAGAGATGTCCTCGCTGCAAGCAAATGTTGAGTCACTGGCCCACTATAAAGTAAATGCTTCATACTGCATGTGTGGCCATTCAACATTCAAACAATAAAAAATTTGATTGTTATAGTGTAAAAAGTGTTTGTATGTTCCTGAACGGTGTTCACGTTAACTACACAGATAATGTGCAGAATGTGTGTACAATAAGTTTGCATTGACCTTGACTCGTCTCCTGTGCATGCTTTGGAGTTTGAGAGATTGCTCTTGGCAGCGTCTCTGGTGGATGGAGCTGAGTGGCATCAGGTACGTTCAACCTGCCGTCTCTGACCACTGACCCTTTAATCGTCTTGGCTCTTAAGCTGCTGGTGAACCCCCACTAGATTTGTTTTTAATGCGCTGTGATTTTTTCCACCTCGCTCCAACACATTTTTTCACCTCTGTCCTGCTGTGGCTGAAACACTGGTGAAGCTTGGCCTGGGTAGAAACAGGGCCAAGCAGGTACGAAAAAAGTACCTGGTACCAGTGAAACAGATCCAGTGGAAAAACACCTAATCGGAGTAGAGTAGAGCCCAGTTGAGGAGAGAAGGTCTAAGTAGGGCTGGTGGAAACAGAGAACATATCTGCATCTGCACAGAGAAATATCAAATTCCAATATCTGGGTATAAGAAAGGTATGGCTGATGAGGATTAGTCAAATCAGCTGTATGAATGAACAACTGTATTTTTTCAACTATTCTCTGAAAACGACTGAATTCATTTGTTATTTGTTGTTGCATCCGCTTACTGGTCCTCATTTATCTCAAAATGCTTGGTATGGATTTGACATGAGATACAAAGCTTTTCAAAATAGCTTCCATTCCAAGTCAGTCTTACCAGTTTAAGCCCCACTTTTTAAAATGTTTGATTTTAAGCATGCATGACTTCATTTAGTACGCTGTAACATTTTGGGTACATAGTGTCTGCCTGTTGGGTGTTCCCAGTATTATTACATGAGACTTTCCATCATAACATTATTTCATTTTATTGGGTCAACAATGAATTTTTCTTTCGATCAACTTACACTAAAACTGGCACGTATACAGCGTCATGGTGTTCTTGTAAAAGTCTGCATAGAAAGAATTGTGTCATAGCTTGGACAGAGCTGATTTATACTTTAGGATTTACTTCATTCATTTAATTAGACTAGTGAAAAGGCATACCACACCTGCATTTTAGAAGTAGAAGTGAGCGAACAAAAGGAGCTATTGTTGACGCCCGTCGGTCAGAAGTGCGCCACTGCGGCCTCTACAACATTCCATGGTGTCACATAATACTGTCAGTTTCCTGTTGGAAGTGCCAGCCCAGAATTTGTGAGCAAATTCAGAGGCTTTTGTCTAACTTCATGTTCACTTATAACTGCATTGGCCGTACACATTATTCTGTTTCTATCCAAGATACAATGACTTATACATCTTCATAAGTGACTTCATGACTTAATTTGAATGTGTTAAATAAGGAAAGCACTTTTGGATCTGTGTGACTCTGTAGGTTTTAATGTAAAATAGAACGCAGTATCTAACATGCTTATTATAATATATAAACTCTGCTGCAATAACACTGACCATGACCAGAATTAGCTGGCTAGTCATGAAACCATATACAGACTTTTGATATTTGCAGACAATGATTTGTGCATACTTTGAAACAGTACAAACACCACACAATTATAGAGGAAGCTCTCTTTATTGTTTTCTGTAATTCCTGTCTTACCATGTTTATTCAAGACACTTTCCATCCATTTGCTCTAAGTGTGATTCATGAGCATTGCTATTCATACACTACTGGGTATTTTCCTCAGCTGTAAATGTTAAAAAGTGTGTGTTTATGTGTCAGAACCCTTGGAAATAAAGTGTTATACATCTCCAGTGTATGAGAGAGGGCTGGTGCGTAATATGTTTTATAGGTTTTGGTATAATATATACTCCATCATCTAAAATACAGCCAACGCAATAGCTCACTTTGATTCATAAAAAAAAAAAAAAGTTTCCCCTCATGATCTGCAATCAATGTTTGGTAGCCTCAAGTCACTGAAAGGCAGTGCTTATATGATGACCTAAAAGTTAACTGATTTAACTTCATACCATTGTCTAAACCTATTACGTGAATTAAAAATAAATTAAATCATCCATTATGATAAATAAATCATGACAACATGTAATACATTGAGCGAGATCTGTTTAAAGCAATCGATTATAAATTAATCCCACGTTTTTCCCGCTCATGAACGCACCACTGTAGTTGTACCTGAACAGAAACGCCGCATCTTCTCCTGTTATTTCACCTGTGAGTAACATCATAACACGAACATACCAGCTAATAGATCCAACATTATTTATTGTCTTCAGTTTTCAGTATTCTCGAGATCGCTTGATATTTGTGGAATTACATAAACCGGGAATTTGTTTTGGCTAGCTAGCTAAATCTGGTTATCTAACTTTACTTGAAATTGAAATTCGTTTCTTTAGCCACATCCAATGATCTTTATTTGTTTTAACAGTGTGCTATGTAGACATCATTTAGTGTCTTTATAATGTATTGTAAATGGTTGTTGTATCTGTGACAACAACTTTTTACAAGAGCTGGGCAAACGTCAGCCAGCGGGCCACATGTTTCTGTTGCCCTCATCATTGGGAGTTACACACGTGGAGGCTGGCAGGTTCATTTGATTTGAGCAACCACACCATGTTATACCTCATTTTAAAGCTATTGCTCTAAAAATAATGAAACCAAGAAGTAATCTTGGTAACAATTGATTATGGATTCATCTATTATTCCTCTACCTTTTCTAGTTATGGTTCAATCCAAGTTAGGGGTGGAATTAATGATTGTATTATAGATTAGTTGGCTGATTATTATTACGATTAATCGATTAGATGTATAGATCCCAAGGCGACCTTGAGTGCCGTATAAATAAAACATATTATCATTACTATTATTATTGATTATGGGATTTTCATATACTTGATCAAAACAACATCTTCATAAAGATAACTTGATACTAAGTGTTGTATCAACGCAAGTTTCTTGATTAAAAATACTAAAAAATATACAAATATCCCAATGTGTCCCCCCAGGGAAAAAATGAACCCTCGCGACAGTTAAGATGTTATCTGTGAGCTACATTTATTTATTTAATGGCTCTACATTCTGTTTTATTGTTCAATTGTTTTATGCTGTTACTTAAATTCTGGAGTTTTTGGCAAATCCTTTTTTGTTGTTGCAAATCCTGATGGATCCTGGAGGCTGTTTGCCAAAATCATGCTTTGTAGTTAATGTATTATTATGGACTTTTTACATTTTTCTTGTGTTTGCTATGTCCAAACAATGACATATGTTTCATATCTTGACAAGGATTGTGAACATTTCATAATATATCTAATTAATTAAACTTTTCAACTTAATTTGTAATATAGGACAGGACTACTTGAACAATCACATGTATGTTTATGTTTATTATAATCATTGTGAGCTTTCCGTAATTGTGTTTATTATTGATTTTATTACCAGATAACAGTAAATTCATATATTATTTTTCCGAGTGTCCAAGTATAATTTTAATCAATGTAACATACTAATGACAGTCAATGTTTTTGCATGTGTTATGTCTGAGAAACAGTGTATGGCTCATAAAGTCCAAGAAATCAATTTCTTTGGGGCTGAGTGTCATTCAGAGCCTATGCAACACTTTTCTCTTTCTGCACAGTGAATGGAAGCAGTGAGGGGAAAAACAGCCTTAAACATTCGTCTGGTGAAAATGTGCAAATGAGACTTGGCCTTGTGCAGCGCCGAGCTCCAGAGCAGCGGCAGGAGACGTTAACGAGGAAGGGGAGACGAGAAGCAGCCCTGCGCCACGCCATCGAAATAAACCCAAATAATAGACCTCAAGGATGTAATTAGGAGAATTGTGATTCAACAATGAGGTAACTATCAAGTTGTCGAGCCACAACGGGCAGCTAAAAGTAATGTTTAAATGTGTTATGACATCATTTATGTTCAATTGAATTTTCCCCTGGCTGGCACTACGTCTCGAGGATGTGAAACCAACCTGCTATCAAAAAGGAGCTCACTGCTAGCATTAGAATGAAGCCACTGTTAGAATGAAAACTTATTACAAGACTGCAGCTAATAGAGTCAAACCCTTTATTAACTCTTTAGGCGCCAGGTTTTTTTTCTCCAGAAATTTTATGTAAAACTGAAAGAAGAAGTAGCCCTGAATAAGTAATAGAGTACCACTAAAATCAATAGCAGAAATAAAGAAAGAAAATGGTATGAGAAAACGTTTGTGGGAAGCCATGTCACTGTATAGAAAATGTCCTGTTTAGGAGCTCATGCAGCAAAATTCTGCTACTTTGACTCATAAAGGGCTAACTTGTATTATAATCATTTACAATATAGCAGGATTCACAGTGGTTAAAATGCACCTGTTTTATTTTTTCCGGCCTTCAAACTCCTTGGAAAGTTGTGAATTTCTATCAGAAATGTACTATTTATGGAATTGTAACTGAAAAATGCATGGGTAGTTTTCATTTATTTTCAAAGATTGTCGTAGAGTGCAATTCCACCGCTGGAGCCAATAACAGTTTGTGAATCATTGCAATTCATTTCAAATCACGACAGCAGTCACCTTGCAAGGTTTCATGAAATTGTTTATTCAACTAAAGGAAAGTTGGGGACTTTTTAACAATAAAAAGGTCAATGAAATTATACCACATTCTTAGGGAATAACCTCATAGACAATACATTTCTCAGGGCATCTCCTATTCCCCTATACAGGACAGACACACATTCCTAATTTTTGTCCATAATCTTGTTGTCAAATCAACAATTTTCAAAGTCCTCTGAGACGTCTGCTGTGGGGATTTAGGGCTATAAAAAAATATAATTAACTGAATTTACAGACTATCAAACCTATTTTGGTCTTTGCTCTTATACCTGTAATTCATTAGTCATTTAGCTTGGATCCCAGAATGTTTACATCTCTCGAAATATTTGTGTGCGCATTTGTTTTTGTTGACTAGATCTGAAAAGATAAATTGAATACTCCCAGTCCAGCTAATATAGAGTCAAGACCCTCTGTCAGTGAGACATGTTTTATCATATGTTTCACAAAAGAGCAGGGCACTTGGTAAAAAGCCCACATTTTGCATGATTAATTGCAAATCATAACATTGTCCCCAAACGTGCCCCGGGTAAATAAGATGAAGCGACAAGTAACAAACATTTATTTTGGTGCGCGTCTGCTCATGAATTTAATTAGCCTTTTTTTTGTGTAACCCGTGAACCCCAAGCCTCACCCCTGCTGTAAGAAGCCGAATTCATTAAGCTGTTTTCTGCCCTCAGATTTTCACACCACCGCTTTGAACATCTGCACCCTGTCATGTATCATCCCATTCATTTCTACTTAATTTGATCCTAATAAGTGCCTACATGAGGAGCCAGATGCGCTACTTTGACTGTGGCACCCAAGTTTTGTTTGAGGGGAGTTGTGCCGTACGTGCGCTCCTGGTGGACCAAGGAGTTGTACTTTCTCGTCTTATAAATATGGAGATAACTTGTGTGTATTTCCTTCAGATGTGGCATTTCGGTTGTCAGCGCACACAGGAATCAGTCAACACTAGACAAAGTCCCTGAGGGTATGTCAAAGATTAAGCTTTTCATTTTGATGAATTCCAAACGACCTGTTTACAAGAAAATCATCAAACACATTTGTAAGTTTAGATGTTGATAATAATAGAACATGATTGACTTTTGGGGGTCATGTATTTGGATTAAGGCGATCAAGGGTGTTGAGATTTGCAGTGGGCAAGATGCTGGAGTATTTCTGATTATGTTTTTTGGATGAAGTACCGGGTAAACTTGACTGCTAATCAGGACCATATGTTATTCTCTGGCCCTCAGTATCATCTTGCCATTTTGAGTGGCTCCTAGACATGGCTCCTGACATGCCCTGGATTGAATTGCAGCAACTAGCAGCTCGGCTTGTGCTAACGAAGAGAGGGCCAGGTGCCCAAAACCCACTGAGCTGGCCGACAGAGACACAATCCAAGAGATTCACCACGAAATCTTGTGGACGACCGACTGGGCCTCCTTATCTGGTGAGAGAAAGTTCACTTTACTTTGAAATACCATTAATAGATACTCCTAATAAATGTGCTTCAGTGAAATGGGTAAATTAGCCAATGTTAAGTCACAAACTCTACTTTTTTATAACAAATGGTTTCTGTATGGGCAATATTTTAAGTGGTGTATTCCCTTATTATTGTTGATTGAAAAACTGTTATTAATTTGTCTTGATCAAGATACTCTGTCTGCATGTAAAAGTAAACATCAACCTTGTGCTGATTTAGAACAATGGAGAATTGGCGCTTCAACTGCCCTGATTATAATTTCCGATTGCGTCAGGGTCACAGGGTCAAAAGTGTCATGTTGTGGGGGTCCCTTATTACTCAGAAGAGGGAAAATGAACTGAAATGAGCTGGAGGTAAATCCTCTCGTCTTGATGGAGAGAGGCATCTGCTCCCGTTTAACCCTAGGCCACAGTGGCATTCTGGGTAATCAGAGTGGCCACTGTGCTGCATGAAAAGCAGCACATAAAAGTGACAGGTTCAGTTAGGGGAGTCCTTGCAGTGACAGAAATATTGTCATGTCAACACAGTGATAAACAACAATGGAGCCCAGAGACGTGCTGACTGATAGCAGCTGCATGTACAGCTGTTTGTACTGGCTCCCACACTCTCAGGCTCGTTGTCATTCACAGTAACTGCTGCTTAGTGTATCTGTCAGCTGACTGGTTTCTCATTGTCTCCCTGCTCTCAGAGGCGCTGTATGTGCAGCACAGGCCCCTCAGGCAAACAGCTTTGTTCTACAGGATGTCGGGGCTCCCTGGGCTGCCTCTCGCGCCGCTCTTCTGCTAACCGGGGAAGTGGAGGAGATTAAATGGAACATCCTGAATCACATAGTTCCTAATGCTTTGTGACATGTACACTCTGCTGAGACTGTAGGCGCCTGACACAAAGGAGCAGTGACAAAACAAATAGTGGCTCTTCCAGAGATGCCACAAGACATGTGTACATCACTTACACTGATGTAGGTTGACAAAAGTGGCAATGTTCACAATGCTACATTCAATAAATTATGGAGAGTCTTTGAGTGGCACTTTCAGATTGCATCTTAAACAAAGACAGCCAATACATTTGACTGAGGCAACTAGTGTATTAGTATGTTAAATACAATGCTGTTTTGAAGATGAGGCTGTTTTGAAAGCATGACTTGTAATAGTATATTAATGAAGCACTTGATACTGTTCAATGAATTATTGACGACAAGACTGCCAGTCAGTCAGTCCAGTCTGCCCAGGATGAAGACTTCTGGGAAAAGGTCCCAAGAGGAAAAGTCCTTCAAAGCCTTGCTTTGTTAACGGCTGTGGTTGTAGCCTTTTACTTTAGCTGCAATTAATCAGAAAGATGGAAAGAATGAAGATGCTCTTAGTTAAAGCTTTGTCAGTCAGCCATGCATGCCATCATATGTGTGCCAAGGCAAACATTAAAAGCCCAGAACACTCGATACATAACTGCATAAGTGAGAGGACGATGGAGCCGCACAGGAGGTCTGGGATATTGTGGTGGATGCAGAGAGAAAAGAAAAGACGTGATGACAGTGAGATGCAGGGAAAATAAAACGTCTGAAACAGTCATTATTATTTCATACAAATGCCTTTTCTTTGCTTGAAAAATTTAAGCCGCAATGGCAGGACCAACGCTGCACATGTCAAAAGAAAGCCCAGGGACCGCAGATGATTTAAGTGGGAGAGCAGAGCATATGCAAAAACCACATGTGTAACAGCCATCAGTAAACAGTGAATATGTGGTAAACTTGGCAGGACACCGACATTTTTTTAAAAGCTCTGCCAGTGTGTTAAATAAAGAGAGGGCCCACCGCTTGACGTACGCAAGTGTGTGTGTGCGGCCCCAAATATGATTAACCACAACAAGACGTCATAGCAGCAGAACGGCTCTGGCTCCTCAACTTCAGCAGCCAGTTACTTTATTGTATTACAAAAAGTTATTGCAGCATAATACTAATGTAGGAGAGAGAATATAGCCTGTATGCCACCACTGACAACATTTCATCTGCTCTCAGTATCTCACAATTCACTTGCATGCATTTTGGAAACTCTTGCTCTTTAATACTCAATTTAAAACATGCAAATTAGATGCAACAAATAAGTTTTGTTTTCATCCCTCCAACTGTGGGCCTTATTGATTTGCCTATAGTTGTAGCCATATGTGGCTAGTTCTTTTGGTTTACTGTGAAAGCAGAATCCGCTCAAGGCTCTGAAAGAATCGTGAAAATGTGGGAGAAAATAACTGGATGGGTGGACATCCAAAACATGGGTGAACATTCAAAATGGTTGATGGGTGAACTTAAAAAAAAAAACTTTCTTTTTAGACATGTCTGTGTTACATACAACAATACTAACTTTATACTTTAATTTGAACAATAATACTTTATAGCTTCAGATTTTTTCTTTAAATAAATTTGCTCCAGGGTGAAGACAAAAAAAAATCAATCCTGCTTTCATTTTGAATATTGATCACATTTCCTAATTACAAATAGTAACTTAATTCCCTCATTTAAATCATACGCTATGCTAATACTCCATTTAAGATGCCCAACAACAACATTCAAATTGACGGAAAGACCTCTCTACTCCCTCGCCGGTATAATTATGCATCTTATTGGACGTCACACATTCAGTCAACATCCAATAAACAAATGCACGTATATTGCTGCATTCTTTAGTCATTAGTTCACTGGGCATCTGTACATAAAAAATAAACAAGCAACCTTCTTGTGCTGGCCTGTGTGGGATTCTAACAGTGGCGATGGCTTTGATGTGAGGTCCTTGATCTATTGCGCCCATGGTGTCATATCCTCCTGTGATGTTGCAGATTAATTAGGTGTAACGGCTATTTATCCCTTAAAATCATAATACTAATTTACCCAATGCAATAAGCTGCCTCCGTGGGTGGCGACAGTGGCTCAAAGTTGTATTTAACATGGATCACAAATCAGCCAAGACATGGAGAAGAGGAAGGGCCAATTATTAACAAGAATCAATTATGTTAATATCATGCAGATTTGGTGACCCTGGTTTGGAAACACATTTTAGCAGTTCAAATGAGCCGGCAAAAGGCTTCAGTGTGCTCGTCTTCATTTTTAAAATAACAATCAAAGAAGGCAGAATACATGCTTCATCACACAATTCCAATGTTCATGAAGCTGTAGAAACCCAGTAGATTTGTAAATATTTGTCACTGGTGCTATACTTAACCACCGCTGTCTCTACAAATCTTTTATGTTCTGCAAAGTAACTTAATACATACGGACTGGTCACTTCTTTTTGAGAAAAAAAGTTAATCAAAAGACCATTCCCAAAATGTGAAGTTTTCAACAGACATTCGGCAGCAAGGAGCAAGTCTGGAAAGGAGACAGAGGTGGCTTGCGTGTGCACAGACAGCGGACCTGCCAAACCTTACAATCAAATCTTTTGCTATGCGTCTTTGTGTCCAGTCCATAGATAGTCCACATTGTCCATCTGTGTGTACAATTCTGCCATGCAGGGCCCCTGGTTCCCTTGAGCGTGAATGCAGCTCGTTCTTGTGAATGCTATCTCAGAGCGCCAGCGCCCAGAATGCTGCCTATTCCCACACCCAGCGAACGCCACAGGGGGATAAGAAAAACACAATTGATAGAAAGTGTATTCTTTTCCATATAGGTTCCCACCAGCATGTTGCTAACTGTTTCCGCTACCTTATCAAAGAACAAATGGCTTTGAAAGCGGCCAAACAAAGCAGCTGCCTTCATTGTTGCCTACTTTTTTGACAAGGCCTAATCTGGGTTTCCATCGGGGACTGAAGTAACCTCTACCTAACAGTTCCTCTATGGGCCAAGCAGAGGTGTACCACGTGCCACTTTCTATTGTTGTGCACAAGTATAGACCTGTGCTTACTTCTATTTAAGGAAGGGTTCTATCTTTTCAGTTTTTACAACTTCACAAATATCAGAGAGAGTCTTCCATAATATTAAACCTCAAAATCACAGCCAGCCTAATGACCCTGCATGATTCATACACCTCAGAGAACCCCCCCTTTCACTTTAGGCCTATGTGTGGCTGTCTGTGCAGGTTTTACTGCTTAGTACAGTGCCATCTACTGGCTACTGTCTGCACAACGGGGATGGGACTCAGTAACATCTCTGTTTCCTCTAAAGGTCTTACTACTATAGAATCAAGAGAACTGTCAGATGAAAAATCCTAAACTGAAGCAATGATAATTACTTTATTCTGAAATAATTATACTTATGTTAAACTAGAAAGCTATATAATGGATGGATTTATTTGAAATTAAACTGTCCCAATGTCTCTTATGATAAACAGCTTGTTTTGCTTGAAAGTAAAAGACTGTTCACACTTGTACTGATTCTGCTGAATGTGGATCGCTCTGCCATCATCACAGTGAGTCTGTGGGCCGAGGAGGTGACAGGAGCCTGGTGTGTGCCGAGCCACGTTATTGGTGCTAAAGGATAAATAGATCATCCGACTGTCACTTTCCTTCCTGGAGTATGACAGTGAGAGCAATGATAATTACTCACATTATGACAAACTACCTTGCGTTATGAGTGGAAAGATAGTGGATTTATTTATAAATTAGATAAGAAATTACAGATTTTGTCACAATACAAAATTAATTTGTGCTTATTGCCCAATTAAATTACTTTGCTCTTGTGTGAGAAACTATTTTATGCCATTCTTATATTTTTAAGTTTTAAGTTTCCTATCTAAATATCTCTTTTATACAGGCAGCCAATTTATCTATATGGGTTTGTGAATATTTTTGAGGGCCCAACTACACACACAGCATTGCCATTGTGCAACTGACTGTTGTTGGTACCCAGCGAGGCTCTCGTGCGCTGCTCTGCATCCACAGTGCCCGTAGGCTGTTTTCCTAATCATATTAATGAGGCGGCGATGCACCGACCTGTGCTGCACATCCAGCGTCTGCAGTCCTATTTACACTGTACCTATACTAATCTGACAGCCTTGATCAAGGAACAGAAAATAAAACCCCTAAGGCCTCTATTGATCAACCTTGAGTCTTACTCTGCACTGTTGTGAGGGGTTGGTTAACTATTACAAATGTTAGTGTGTTCGATAAATTATTTCATCAGAAAAAGCATGCTGCATTAAGTATTTATTTTGAAGTAAACTATTTCAAAGGAGCACCCATAGAATATCATGAGGCACTGACAGGGAATATATCTCTTTGTCTGAGGCTGTCTGGGGCAATAAGTCCACTCCTGGTTCAATAAAGCGCACACATAAACATGTGTCCACGCACAAACAAAAAGCGTAATAATCAAAACAAAATGTTGACATTCAGAAAACTATCTGACATTTTGAAAGGAAAGCAGACACATTTTTATTTACGATGCACTGGCTCATTAATCCAATCAGTGTGCGAGCTGGTAGAAGTGCATACAGCGCAGAAACAATCAAGAGAAAAGGAGAAAGGAGCAGCACAATAAAGCGGCAAGTGTATTTGCTGTAAATAATCAGTAATATAATTACCCATGGAGACCTTTCTTCTCCCTGATTTCCTAAATGATTACTAACAGACTGTGGGCCGTAGCCATTCTATTACAGAAAATTGTTGAGTGTTGCCCTGGAGGCTTATATCTCTCCCAGGGCCATGGATCTGCCTAATGGATGACCCACTTGTTAGCTAATTGCTGCTGTGTCCCTGAACACAAAGGAAATGTTAAATTATGTTATGTGGCTGTTAGATAATGAGCCAGAGCAGCAAAAGACTTTCAGCCAAGCATTCACTTCTGCATGCTTATATATTGCACTTAT